AGTTTAGGATCAAATTCAAGGATGGTGGGTCTAGAAGCAGGGGAAAGAGCTTAGCCATTAGTTCCCAATGAATCTGAAAATCATATCATGGAATGTTAGGGGCCTCAATGATAAAGGGAAAAGGAACATCATCAAGTCATTGATCCAGGAGTGGAGAGCAGACATCTATTGCTTCCAAGAAACTAAATTGGAAGGTAATGTCTACATGTTTGTTAAAGAAATATGGGGGAATAGATGGGTAGATTGGGAATGCTCGGAATCAAATGGTAGGAGTGGTGGTATTTTAATTTTATGGGATAGAAGAGCATGGGAGTGAGAAGTTGTTAATTCTGGGACACAGAGTATTACTTGCAAATTTACTGCTCTGAACCAGGAGTTTACTTGGCACATCACTGGGGTTTATGGCTCAAATGATAGAATCGAGAGACAAGGATTGTGGTGGGAGCTGGCTGCTAATAGAGGAGCTTACACAGGGCCATGGGTGATATGTGGTGACTTTAACATCACTAGATATGCTGCAGAAAGAAGAAATTGCACCAGGCGCAATAGAGCAATGATCGAATTCTCGGACCTAATAAATGAACTAGAACTAATTGATCTTCCTTTGGAGGGAGGAATCTACACTTGGTATAAGGGGATCAATCATTTGGTTGCGTCAAGATTAGATAGGTTTCTAGTTTCCACCGAATGGGATGAGGAATTCAGGTTCATCAAACAATCCTTATTACCAAGGACAACATCTGATCATATTCCAATTTTACTACAATGTGGGGAATGGGAACAAACGAAGTCTTACTTCAAATTCGAAAACTGGTGGTTGGAGGTAGAAGAATTCACAGAGAAAGTAAAGGAATAGTGGGATTCCCTAGTGGTTAGCGGCAGGCCTGATTATATTTTAGCAACCAAACTAAAGCTATTGAAGGCCAAATTGAAGGAGTGGAGTTCAAGTAACTATGGCAACCTGGGAGCGAAAAAGTCTGCACTTTTAGAACAACTGCTACAATTTGATAGGATCCTGGAACAAAGAAATCTCACAGATGATGAACTGATTACCAAAGCCAATGTAGAAATAATGAAGTTCCATGAAATCGCTAAATATGAAGAAACAACATGGAGACAAAGATCCAGAGTTCTTTGGTTAAAACAGGGAGACAAGAACACCAAGTTCTTCCATAGAATGGCAAATGCTCACAGAAGATTCAATACTCTGGACAAGCTGGAAATTAATGGAGAGCAAATAACTGACTCAGAGGTCATTATAAAAGAGATCGTAGAGTTTTACATATGTTGAAACTGAGATATGGAGACCGGATTTACATATATGGGCTACCCAAAAATTTCAGAAGAAGAGGATGTGTGGCTCCAGAGGACTTTTCAAGAACAAGAAGTCTTGGAAAACATCAAATTATGTGCTATTGACAAAGCTCCAGGCCCAGATGGTTACTCTATGGGATTCTTTCACACATGCTGGGATGTGGTGAAAGATGACATTATGAAGACTGTGGAGAATTTCCACACTCAAGAATTTTTTTAGAAAAGCTTCAATGCTACATATGTAGCTCTGATTCAAAAAAAAGGGTGCCAAGGAGCTGAGAGGCTTCAGGCCAATTAGCTTGATTGGGAGTGTGTACAAGATCATCTCTAAAATATTAACTGAAAGACTAAAGAAAATGATGGATAAACTGGTGGATAAACATTAAATTGCATTCATAAAAGGACGACAGATTATGGACGCTGCATTGATAGCTAATGAAATTGTGGACACAAGTCTGAGAGCTCAGATGCCGGGAGTTCTTTGTAAACTGGATATTGAAAAGCATTTGATCATGTCAATTGGAAGTTCCTTATCAAAATTCTAAAAGAGATGGGCTTTGGCAGGAAGTGGCTAAGTTGGATTCATTTCTGCATTAGCACAGTTAAATTTTCCGTCCTCATCAATGGATCTCCAGAAGGCTTTTTTCCATCTCAGAAGGGGCTCAGGCAAAGGCAAGGAGATCCCATATCCCCTTCCTGTTTATTTTAGTAATGGAGGGCCTCAATAGCATGTTAAAGAATGCCAAGTCAAATGGATGGGTGAGGGGATTCAGAGTTTCAAATAACAACTACAACATGGAAATTTCCCACATTTTATATGCAGATGATTCTTTGATATTATGTGATGTAAACATTGACCAACTAAGGCACATCAGATTAATTCTAATAGTCTTCAAGGCAATATCAGGCTTACATGTCAATTGGAGGAAGAGTATGTTATATCTAGTTAATGAAGTGGATCAACTACAAAGGCTGGCAGGCACACTGGGGTGTGAAATTGGAACCCTACCAACAACTTACCTGGGTTTAGCTTTAGGGGCAAAGAACAAATCTCTTAAGAGATATGGCAGGGGGTGAATGAAAGAAAAAGAGGCTAGCAAAATGGAAAAGTCAATACCTTTCTTCTGGGGGAAGAGTGGTCCTGGTAAACAGTGTGTTAGACTCCATCCCTACTTATGTAATGTCCTTGTTTCCTATTTCAGCTAAAGTGGAAAAGAGACTTGACGAAGAAAATTCATTTGGCAAGGTAACAAGGAGAACAAAACTTATCACCTGATGAATTGGAAGACTCTCATCTCCAGCAAGAAAGTGGGTGGCATGGGTATCAAAGATTTGAGGAAGCAGAACAAAAGTCTACTTTCAAAATGGCTTTGGAGAGATATAACTATGAGGAAGAAGCATTACGGAGGCAGGTGATCAACTACAAGTATGGCCAGTTATCCCATTGGTGCACCAAAAATGTGAAAGCTACTTTTGGAGTTAGTAATTGGAGAGCTATCAGATCTCTTTGGCCCAATTTCATCACCCACTGTGGCTTCAATATTGGTGATGGCAGTAGAATTTCTTTCTGGCATGACAATTGGCTTGGGCACGGTCCTCTCAAAGATTTATTTCCTGACTTACACAACTTACTATCCAGTTCTGAAGCAACAATTGGGGAGATGTGGGGTCAGCAGGGGTGGAACTTCAATCCCAGAAGGTCTCTAAATGACTGGGAAATTGACAGAGTAGCTGAGCTATTGAGGCATCTGGAGTTATTTCAGGGCACAACAAATACAACAAACTCTTTGATATGGAAGGGGACTAGCAAGAAGACATTCACAGTGAAATCAGCTTACACCGTACTATCGGGAAACAATCAGGGAGACAACAATTGGCCTTGGAAACAAATTTGGAAAACCAAGGCTCCTTTCAAAGTGGTATGCTTTTCGTGGTTAGTTGCTAAGCAGGCCTGTCTAACTCATGAGAACCTAATGAAAAGAGGATTTCAACTGAGCTCCAGATGCTATCTGTGCTCTACAGATTCAGAAAGCAATAGCCATTTGTTTCTGCACTGTAGAGTTACTTCCCAGTTGTGGCAACTTTTTCTCAGCATGATTGGACTTAGGTGGACTATGCCAAAAACCACAACAGATTTACTGAGATGCTGGAATAAGCAGGAGGGCAGTGTAAGGCAAAAAGACTGGTGGAATTTGATCCCAATGTGCATATGGTGGATAGTTTGGAAGGAGAGGAATGCCAGGTGTTTTGAAGACAAAAGCAGTCCTCTTCAGAAGTTAAAGATGAACTGTATCTTGTTGTTTCATTTTTGGTGTAAAGAAAATTATGTGAATGATGAAGAATCGATTTTAGACATCATAGAATCCTTGTAAGAAGAACAAGGATAGGTTTTTGCTTCTTTTGGAATCTGTAAATGGTTACCAGCACAACCTTTGTGCTGGGTTTCTTTTTTTATAATACATATTTGTTACCTTTGTCAAAAAAAAAAAAAAGAAAGAAAGCTGAAGCGAAAGAAATAGCATGTAGTAATAGAAATCTAAGAGTAAGCAAATACAAGACTAGCACTCATACTACTAGTACGGACAAGGAAAACGCTCGACTACCTAAGAACCTTCTACCCTAATTCTCGATCTCCATACCCTCCTATCAAGGTTATGTTTTCGGTAAGTTGAAGCAATGCCATGTCATGCTTAATCACCTCTCCTCAATACTTTTTTTGGCCTACCTCTACCTCTCCTCAGACCCACCAAGGCCAACCACTTACACCTCCTTACTGGGGCATTTGTATTTCTCCTCTTCACATGCCCGAATCATCTCGCTTCCCGCATCTTGTCCTCAACGGGGGCTACACCTACCTTGTTCCGAATATCTTCATTCCTAATCTTATCTATTCTGGTATGCCCGCACATCCATCTCAACATCCTCATTTCTGCGACCTTCATAATCTGAACATGGAAGTTCTTAACTAGCCAAGACTCTACTCTATACAACATGGTCGGTCTAACCACAACTCTGTGGAACTTACCTTTAAGTCTTGGTGGTACATTCTTATCATACAAAACATCGGATGCAACTTTCCATTTCGTCTACCCCGCTCCAATATGTGTGACATCCTTGTCAATCTCCCCATTTCTTTGGATTATTGACCCAAGGTACTTGCAACTTCCTTTCTTGCAAGAGATGACGTGTGTGTTAAGCCCCACATCCACGTTCGCTTCATGTGTCTTGGTACCTTTAGACTCCAGGCTTTAAAGGCTTGTTAAGAAAATAAATCACCTGTAGGTCCCTTTTCCAAATTAAAACTAATATCTCACATCGATAGTACCCAATGTGACGACTTCCCCTATCTTTGCAGAATGCGCTTAGTGTGACAGCTTCTTAAGTCAGTAACTTTTTCCTCACTCAATGCATTCTGCGAATGATAAACACAAGACACCTCCGACTAAAAAATCTAAATCATTATTAATTTTGGACATAGGACTACTTTTTATAGAACTTGTGGTAAGCATATTTTTGGATTGTGTTGTTGTATACTAAGGAGGCAATGCTTGCTCTTTAGCATAGGATGTGAGTAATGCTACCTCTATTTGGGCATCAAGAATTTGGGCATGTTTAGTGTGAATTGTGAAGAGAAATCTGAGGTTGATGGGCAATTGGGCAGGTTCTTGGACCCAAGTTACTGGTTCACCTGTCACTTAGCTGATAAATATTTAAGCTCTCTAATGTTTCTTTCACTAAGAAATTATTTATTTTTTGACTCTTTTGCTTTGTTAGTGCATCTTTGGAGAGAGTACCACCTTACTTGCATTTTCTCTTCACCGATTGTAGCTACCACAACAGCAAAATCTATCAGACTGTGGTCTCTTTTTACTACACTATGTGGAGCACTTTTTGGCGGAAGATCCTGCTTGTATCAGTCCATACAGGATAAAGAACTACCACAATGAATTTGTAAGTGTAGTGCTTGATTTGCCCTTCAGTGTTATTCTTCAAAGTTCTTCAATTTTTGTTGTCTTCCACAGTTTTAAACCACTTATTGCATATGAATTGGACATTAATTTTTTGATTTCCTCTATTCTGATTTGATGCCTATCCTAAGATGTATTAATTGTTGAATCCTTTAACCAGTATGGGAAATGTAGAGTCAGAAATAGAAACCTTCTTCAGTGAGATAGTTTTGAGACCACTTGGAAGAATTCTATGTCTGATATGCATTAATGTGAGACAAAAATGTTGAGCTGCCTTTACATCTCTGTTATCTTATTTGTATTTGATACATGTTAATAGCCGTTAACAACTGTGTGTTTTTTGCGTGTATGTGCGCCTGATATACAATTTGGCATTAACTGGTTGCAGTTAATATTTGTTTTGTGGTGACCAAATTGGTTTCCCTGCATTAGTGAATAAATAATGTACTATCCCCTCTTATGTCTTGTGGGAATCTGCTCATTACCTTTGTAACCTTTGTCAGGCAATAGGTGCATAACCACCCTATGTTTTTGAACAGCCATTAACCCGTTCTCCAATTTGTGACAAACAAGCTCAGAAATTCAATCAGTCCTGTCTCTTTAAATGTGGTTTTGATGGGTGGGGAGATTACCTATGTGTCAAAAACCACTAGGAGTAGGAGAGCAACTCCACTCCAATTTCTTTCTCAAGGTGAGGTGATTTACTTAACTAAAAGTAAGGAAGTACAACAACAACAATAACTACTCAGTATAATCCCACCAAGTGGGGTCTGGGGAGGGTAGGATGTACGCAGCCTTACCCCTACCCTGGAAGGGCAGAGAGACTGTTTCGGAATGACCCTCGGCTAAAGAACTAAAAGTAAGGAAGTAATTAGTACTATATTGCATCAAGCGTGTTGCTGCTTCAGATTGCTTCTTCCTTATTTTGCTTTCACGAGCAAGTGACCCTGAGAAAATATTGTGCATTCTTGCAATAGTACTATGGTTATTCAAAGTTTCCTCTTTATTG